CCTCTTCCACCTCCTCCTCCTCCTCCTCTTCCACCATCGGCCTCCATGCTCACGCTCACATGCAACACCAGAGAGGCAGACCGGCCGGCTGGCACTCGGGTGCCTTTAGCGCCGTGCATCTCCGAGTCAGTCAGTCGGTCGGTCGGTCGCTCGGTCGGTTCGCTCGCTCGCTCCTACGAACGCGAGTGTTTCCTTTTTCCCTCCTCCTCCTCCTTCGTGTCTAATATTTCGTTGTTTAATAATGTGTTAGAAAGGTATTAACTATACACATATATTTTATATAATATATATATATATGTATATGTATATATATATGTATATGTATATATACATATATGTGTTTGTGTGTATACAAAAAAAAATATATATATATACATATGTATATGCGTGTGTATATATGTATCTACATATATATATATACATATATATATATATAGGCAGTAATTGGCAATAATATTTTATTACGTTAATTGAAGAAATTTTCTTCGATTCGATCATAGAAAATACTTTGCGATTCTCTGCACTCGGATGCTGTGTATACATTCTATTCGTGTCTATCTCTCTCTTTCTCTTTCTCTATCTCTTTCTCTTTCTCTCACACCCTCTCTCTCTGTCTCTCTCTCTTTCTCTCTGCATCTCTTTTTTTTCCTCTATGTATCTGTGTATGTAATACATATTATTATTTTTTTCTTTTTTTTCGATGCAGTAGTCACGGTCAATCGAAAAAAAGATTTCGTCGACTTTAATCGTGCAATATCGATATGTGTGTGCGTGTTCTTCATTTTTTCTTTTTTTTTCTTTTTTTTCTTTTTTTTTTTTTTTTCTTTTTTTATCAAGTTACACGTATTAATTTTATTTCTAGAATGATCATTTGTTATAAACATTACTTTATTTAAGAAATTAGAATTGAGAAGATTGAGATAATATGCAAGAAAAAATTGTTATTTAATTTATGTACGAGAGAAAGAGAAAGAGATATGTGTAGAATGAATACGACGAAGTGCATCCTGATTGGTTATGTCCTATCTAGAATGAACTTTCGCGTGACAGTAAGCTTTTCTTTTCTCTTTTAAATATATTTATTTCTCTTTTCTTTTTTTTTTTCTTTCTTTCTCATTACTCTCTCTCTCTCTCTCTCTCTCTCTCTCTCTCTCTCTCTTTTTCTCTCTCTCTTTCTCTTTATCTTTCTCTTTCCTTCTCTCGAGAATCTTCGCGAACGTCGCGTGTGCGTTCAAAGAGATAATTTGCAAGATGCTCGCACGATCGTCGCGATATATAATATTATATGTAAGCAATTTGAAATGATTCTCCTTCAAAGCGTTAACTGAAACATTCAGTCTGACACTTTTTCGTCGTTCCCTTTCTACACTTTGAAATCATTTTATGTCATTTATTCGATTCGAAAGAAAGAAAGAAAGAAAGAAAAAAAAAAGAAGAAGAAGAAGAAGAAACGAAATAAACATCGCGAGACAATTTTACAATCTTTGCAATCATCTGGTATTACGTGTGTTACGTTTTTCTTTTTTACAGTTTTCTCGGAATTCAATCAGAAAACATATATACATATATACGTACATACATATATACATATATACATAAATACATACATATGATAGTGTTGAATATTTTTGAAATTTCGCTCGAGTCAAAAGTCACAAATTTTAATTAATCTTATCGATTGATTGAACGATACATTTGATACATTATATTATATTGTATAATGTAATTAATACGATATAATATAAGATAATATATAATATAATATAATATAATAATAATATAATATAATATAATATAATATAATGTATGAATATGATTAGATCGATCCAATAATCGTCTTTATCGGATGATCTCCGTAATTTTCTTTTTTGATTTATTTTTCGGACGGATTTTCATCTTTGTTTTGTGAGTAGTGGGAAGGGAGATAGACGGATGGAGAGGGGTGGGGTCGTATTAAATAGAATAAAACGAGAGAGGATGAGAACGAAAAAAAAAGGGCGGAAAAAAGGAGAAAGAAACAAAAGTAATAATAATAATAAAAAAAAAAAAAAACAGCGAAAAAGAAAAAAATGAACCGTAAAAGGGAGTAAAGAATAAGGAGAGAAAGAGAGAGAGAGAGAGAGAGAGAGAGAGAGAGAGAGAAGCTCGCGGGCCGGTTACTTCCATTCGCGGCATTTTGCGACGTGCATCTTGCTTTGCGAAGGCGAAGTAACGACGATGGCGAACACTACAGCATTAGCAGCATCAGCAGTAGCAGTTGCAGGAGCAAAAGCAGTAGCAGGAACAGTAGCAGTAGCAGTAGCAGTTAGTAGGATCAGCAGCAACAGCAGTAGCAGTAACGTGGCGCACGTGTGTTTGCGCATTCTACGATCCGATTGGTTAAAATGCAAGTAACCTTCGCGGATAGTTGAGGCTCGTTGTTTAAAATCAATGCTCTCGGATGACATTCAACGTGAGTCTCACGCAATGCCGTACCTTCCAATCGTATTATCGTTTGAATTCTTTCTTTTTATTTATTTGTTTCTTTTTCATTTTCCCTTTTTTTCTTTTCTTTTCTCCTTTCCCCCTGCTCCCTCCCCCAACCCCCACCTTGCCTCTCATATTCTTTTCTCGTTCCTCTCGTTTGTTCTTCTTTAAATGAATTACTTTTTTTCCTCTCCTTTTTCCTCTTCAAGAAAATCTCCGCGAATAAACGTATTATTCTTTTTTTTTTGTTTTTTGTTTTTTGTTTTTTGTTTTTTTTTCTCGCCTTTTTTTTTCTTTTCTAACGTGACTTTGTTGATATAAAAAAAATTTGTTGCAATTGATAGGAGATCAGGTGTGCGCGTATATTCGTGTACTTGTGCACGTATGTTCTCTTCTTCAAGAATGCAATGATATACATTGCAAATTATATTTCTCCTTTTTATACGTGTCTACGTGCGTGTATATGTGCGCGTGTTAGTTATCAAGAATGCAATGAGATAAGTTGCATATTATACGTGTAGATTTTTCTCGAATAATATTCTCCTCGGGATCATTCTCGTAGCTTGTCGATCGACGATCGTGATTCAGAAATCATTGTGGATTATCGCGATACGCGATTGTGTAGTACTTTATGGTATAGACGTTTGATACTTCCTCCTCGACTGTCTGGAATCTTAAAACGATGCAATAACAAAAAGGGTAGCGCTCGTGATCGTTAGGTATATCTGGGTTTGTTTCTTTTTCTTTTTTCTTTGTTTTTTATTTTTTATTTCTTTCTTTTTTTTCTTTTTTCTTTTATTATTCTTTTTTATTTTTCTTTTTTTTTCCGCCCTTTTCAGTCGCGCTCTCCGATCTTTTTCGTATTAAACCACCGTAACCAATCACCCACCGTATCTTCAATAACGTCGATCGTTTCATCGAGTTTTAATATTAATAATTGTTTATCGTATGTCGTATACGTATTCCATATGTTCTTTCCCATTAATTTCGTTCGTTAATGATCGAGAAATAATTATTTTAAAAAGATTAATTGATCAGTAGTTATTGACGAAAAATAATGACTTATAATGAATGTGACAATCTACGAAAAAAAGAAATTGTAAAAAGAAAAAAAGAAAATTGTTCGAAATTGTAGTCGTTTGAAATATTATCGAGATAGTGACTTATTGAAAGATTGAAAATTTTTTCGGAGGGAGGGGGGGTGGTGAGGTGAAGTCTTTGAAATAATAGAAACATATATAGTCGATTAGAAACGATCGAAGATAGAGATAACGATTTCGAAGGTGAAGGAAGATCTTTGATTATAAAAACAAAGAAAAACAAACAAACAAACAAACAAATAAACAAGCAAGAAAAAGAAGAAGAAAGAAAAAAAATCCTCTAACATCGTAGAAAAAAAATTAGTCGATTAGTCATCTATTAGATCGTTCATATTAGATCAAGAAAAGAGTGACTTTTGAAAGGACGAGGATCTTAGAGAAAGAGAAAAAAAAACAAAAAAAAAAAGAACAAAAAAAGAAAAGAAGAATCTTAAACATAATAAACAAACTTAATTCGTTAAAAATGATCTAAAAGATAGAATGATTAATATTGGAAAGACGTGGGGGAATGTAGTGGGTTGAAAAGAATGATAGAAAAATCTTGAAAATATGTGAAATAAAAAAGGAAAGGGTATCGAGAGGGCTCTCTCTCTCTCTCTCTCTTGTCGTCGAGAGAAAAATAGAGAGAGAGAGAGAGAGAGAGAGAGAGAGAGAGAGAGAGAGAGAGAGAGAGAGAATATCAGGCGTGCAGTCTGGCCAGCTCGTTGCCAAATTCAGTCTAGGTCGTTTCTGCGCAGTTCCCTCGAGGTCAGACAAGAACAGAACGTATCACGTTGATGTAGATATATTTTCCGTCGCGTAAAACGCGTATCATCAGTGCGGAAAAATACATTTCGTTCGTCTTTCTGTCCGTCTCTCTTTATCTCTCTCTCTCTCTCTCTCTCTTTCTCTCTCTCACACACTCTGTCCCTCTTTCTCTCATTCTGTCTCATTTCTATACGTACGTATAGATCGTACGATAAAAGGACATACGTCACAGTCGTTGAAATATACGTTTCTTTTTTTTTCCTTTTTTTTTTATTTTTTTATTTTTTTTTTTCTTTTTTAATACGAGAAGTTTACTTGCTAGCCTCGCCCACGCCGGATACGATGAACTTTTGACGTGCTTTAAGTCTCGTCGAGACACCCGTTAGATATCGATCTGCCTTCCGCCATGGGACTACGACGACTGCCGTCGTGGCGGCGTAGACTCTCGGTATTAACCTTGAACTTCAACCTCGGCATTGACGGTGGTGATGTTGGTGAATAGTAGTGGTGGTTTTAGGACGCCAATAATGTTATTCCATTTCGAACATAAGAATGATCTTATGAGAATGATCGATTATGATCTTTGAATATTTTGCCGTTATGTCATCGATCTTAATTAATATAAGAAATCACACTTGTTGATATAATTTCGTTAATTCAGCTGTAACGATACAGAATCAGCTGATC